TTGTTTTGGGAAGTGCTAAACACGCGTGCCATTTTAATACAGCACCAAGTTTCACTGCCTTCAAGATGCAACCGCATGCCTCACGAAAACAACGCATTCCACAGGATGCCAGGGAAGATCCAAATGAGGCTGGAGAGCTGGAGAGTGGTGCAGCTGTTTTTAATGTTCCTAGATGCTGGTTTTCTGATCTGCAAAGATGCAGACTGGCCTAAAACTGAGCAGCTGCTCTTAGCTTGAAGCTCTCCTTCACCATGGCGGTGGTGTGAAGAGTACTAGACAGCAAGTCAAGAAGGTTCAGGTGCCACTGGCTATCTTTGGACCCTGCAAAATCACCCTCCGGGTCTCTGTCTCTTCTTTTATTAAATAAAAATTCTCTGAAATCCTCCCCTGCAAGCCTTCCAGGACGCCTGCCCAGCACAGCTGGCTCCTATAACTTTTCAATCAGACTTACCATCAACTCAGAATAAACACCAGTGAGCCCACAACTCATGGCACTCACCTCATCGGAGCTGCCAAGCACAATGCCTATGTGGTGCTGTCTGGGTGCCCTGAGCAGATTACAATCCTGGAGGTCAGGCTTTGGGTTTCTTCCCCCAAGTAAACCACCTTGCACTTTCAGATATGAAAACATTTGCTGAGTAAGATGAACACCTTCCTCCATCAGACAGATGGGATTCCTAAGGACAGGTATTCTATTTACACTTAGGTTCCACAACATGGTGGGGACTCATGTGCTCTCCAGGGTTCTACTGCCCAGATGGCCAGTTCTGGTGCCTGATTACCTTCTGCTGCATGTTGTGCTCTAGCCACCAGTCTAGAATCTCAGCTATCTGAGGGTTTAGTTGGTGTCATGCATTTATTTTGTATCTCTGTAGCCCTGTCAATAATCCTAGGCACAAGGCCCCTTTTTTTCTAGCATATATGTTGAAATAAAGTTGATCACAGTAGTATGACCTTTAAACTAATAGAAAAAGGCTTCTAAAAAGTACCATTAATATCATTTAACATTTACTAACAGTTCTACACAATGATCATAATATAGTCCTTGACCTCTATGAATGAATGGAAGGTACCAATACATTTATTAGAAATGTGCTTCTTACACATAGAAAATTAGTCACCAGTCTTGGCAATAGCTAGAGAATGATTTCTACTGATCAATTCTTTTTAGAAGAATAAGAAATCTATATATGCTTTACATACAACCCCCCAACATTTACAATGCAAAACTACGTCTATTCCTAGCAGCCTGTCCACAGCTGCTTTCTTTGAAACATGCTTTGGGGAAAGATTGATGTTCAGGAGGATTATGATTCATTAAAGTTGCTGACCGATTCAAATGCTTAGCTGCCAGCCTATTTTTTTCAGAGAATGCTCCTTTCACTCACCTTGGCACCGTTCTGCCAATACATGTGTGCACCATGTGGGAGAAATCCACATGTCCTGAGATCTATGGACATGTGTCCTGAGGGGTGGCATGCTATGCACACTATTTAAGCAGAACTTTGATTGGATTCATCGGGTTTTCATTTGTGTGAACCTCAGGAACAAATGCTCTTTTTCCACAAGGTGACCAAAACTAGGCTTGAGTACAGGGCCACTCATTGTGTAGCTCTCTGTTCCCTGAAAGAAAATTCCACAAATGTTGATTCACTAATTTACTCTAATGAAAAAGCTGTAGGCAGTCTCAAGTCTGAGTAAGCGTGAATGTTAGAAAGGTCCCTCTAGACTTACAATGCATTTTTCAATGTTCTGTCTAGAATAGGAATATAAATAGAGCATTCAAGATGTGTCTGTTGGGCTACTTCTAAGAGCAGACATTTTTTGATAATTTAAAACAAGGGCTTCAGAATTAAAATGATAGCAGTGATTTCCCCAAAGAACGTTCTCCTTCCAGCCATGGTGGGGTAAGGTGGATTGGATATACCCTTCCGCAAGAAAAAAAAACAAAAATGCTCTAAGAAATACATTACACAATTGGTTTTCAAGACTCTCCATATCAGTCAATGAAGGATAGTGATCTCTATAAGACAAAAGGAGAAAAGCTTTGAGACACTGGCTTGGGCAAAGACTTCTTAGATACGACACTAACAACAGGATTCATAAAAGAAAAAAACCAATCACTTGGATTTTATAAAACATGGGAAACTGTACTTCAAAAGACTTGAAGATTGTTAAGAAAATGAAGATAAGGCACAGACTGAGAGGAAATACTTGCAAATCATAAATCTGATAAGGGACTTGTATCTAAAATATATGAAGAACTTTTAAAACCCAATAATCAGAAAGCAATCCAACTTCTAAGAATGAGTGAAACAGCTGAATAGAAACTTCACAGAAGATGACATAAAGATGGCAAATAAGCATATGAAAAGATCATTAATCATTAGGGAGATGCAAATTAAAACCTCAGTGAGATACCACCATGTAGCTATCAGAATGGTTAAAATTAGAAAGACTAGCCATAACTGCCAGCAAGGAAGTGAAGTAGGCTGAACTCACACACCTGTCTTAAGGGAATGTACAACTGGACAACCACTTTGGAAGAATCTGTCAGTCTCTTAAAAAATCAAAACACACGTCCCATATGACCCAGGCATTCCACTACTAGCTAGCTATTCACCCAGGGAAAAGAAAGCAGTGTCCATACAAAGACTTGTACACAAATGTCAGTGCAGCATTATCTGTAACAGTCCCTAATCTGGAAACAACCCCATGTCCATCAACAGGTGACTGGACTACAGAACTGTGGAGTATACATATGGTGCGATAAACTAGTGATGCATGCATTAGCATGGATCAATCTCAAAATAATTATTCTAAGAAAGGCAGACAAAAAAAGAAAAGAAAAGAAAAGAGCACATTACATACTGCATGATTCCATGCATGTGAGACTCTGGAATATACAAGTATGTCCAGCCTGCCAGAAAGCAACTGGGGAACGGGAGGTAGTAATAAAGGTTAAAAAAGGGGTACAAGGAAACTTTTGGGGTAATAAATATGTTTGTTATCTTGATAGTGATGATAATTTCATGGGTGTATATGTAGGTCACATTTCCCAAAGGCATGCTTTAAGAATGTTCAGTTTAGGGGCGCCTGGGTAGCTCAGTCGGTTGAGCATCCGACTTCAGCTCAGGTCATGATCTCACAGTTCATAAGTTTGAGTCACTCCCTGGGTTTTGTGCTGACAGCTCCAAGACTGAAGCCTGCTTCAGATTCTGCGTGTCTCTCTCTCCCAAAAATAAACCGTTAAAAATTTTTAAAAATGTTCTGTTTATTGTGTATCAATTACACCTTGATACTAAAATACTAAAAGGACACTTTTTTGCCTTGGGGAATTTGCAGAATATCATCATTTATGATATAGCCATTTGGGTGAAGTATTCACTGAGTCCCAATCTCGTGCCAAACATGGCACTGAAAACCAAGTTGGCACAGGACAGTCAGACACACTGACCACCGGGGAGGACTCTGAGTGTTTCCACAGTGCCGCTTTGCTTAAGGCACACAGACTGAACGGCTGTGGAAAAACAAGCTTTAACTTCGGTCGTCAGTCTCCCTACTCACAAACTGCTTCAAAATGCATCAGCTATCATCATCGTATGTTGTGATGATGACAAATTACATACCGATCTTGATACTGCACTTGTGCCTGTCCATATGTTTGAACACGCACGAGAATTCATCAGGAAGGAGCCATGAAAACCCATTCTGAGTCCATTATAAGGGGCTTTCAACAAAACTGACACAAGAAAGTAAATGTGCTACTTGTTCTCGTGCAGACGACCTACACTCCAGGCTCTGCTTTCCTTTGTTCCCTGTGCGAGCTGTGTTCTCTAGGGCAGCATTTGCCATCATCTTTTCATCCTAAGATTTTCCATTAGGCCACTGATTGGCAAAATTATCACTGAATTCACCTTGTGGGAATCTGACCATCATATGAAAAGTTGAGAGAAAGCAAAATCAATGTGATATGTATGGAGTCTTCAGTGTAAAACACTGGAAAGTGACATTCTTTATCAATCAAACCACAGAGAAGTCACATTCCAACCAGCATAAACAAAACTTTAGAGGATGACCCATTATTTCAAGAGTTATACTGTTACAATACTAGCTATGGAGCCTGGCAACATTTTTCTGAACAACAGAGATATATTTGAAAAAGAATTTCTTATACAAATCGTATGGGCTAAACTTGGGCAATAAATTTTCTAGAAGAAAGTATGAAAACCTCACAAATATCAAAAACTAAATCAGCATGACTGTGTACAACTTCTGTTTTGAGCCAGAACTAGAGAAAACTGCTTGCAAAGTGAAACAAGAAGCATATTTCAACTGACATAACAAAGCAGGTTATCCAAATCAAGTTTGTAGAAACTGCTAATGAATATCTCGACTACATCTATAACCGATTGATTTAGAAACAAGCTCAAAATTTACTTTCTATTACTTTCTATATTTACGTAAGACAAGGAAGGTGACTCCTGTGAAGAATGAATGTAGGATTCAAAATCTGGCAAAGACTGAGATGATCCCAGTTGGCCCTGGACCACTAATAATGTTTTGGAAGGATTGGGTTATTAGATTAACAGTTGTAGAAGATGAACACTATTTGTGCAATGTTAAAACAAACATTATTATTAACCAAACATTTCCTAAATTGTAAGCAGAAACGTGAAACTTGATCTGACACCTGTAGCAAATCTGAGGGCTTTCCCTGGCCCAGGACACAGGGGTTTCACTACTATGGTCCACAGTGCTCTTATCCTGCTCAGAATAGAAAAGAGCCACCCCTCTACTTTCAATGAGGCTTGTTTCAAGGTTCTCTGAAGGAAATTTCCTTCCTAATCAGTTCTCAACTCTTGCTGCCTCCCACTGGATAATTTACCTCTCTTCTTCCCAAAGCCCTGAGAACTCTTTCTCCCCTCTCCAGTTTTGTTTGGTCAGCAGTGTGTGAATGTTGATCCTTCATTTAACAGGCACCAAGAGGCTCTACTTACATCATGCATGGAGTCCAGAAGCTTGGTCAATTGGTAGAACCTTTGCCAGCTCTGCCCAGAGTTGTTGGGACACTTAGTTACCATCTTCCTCAGTTCTTTGATGTAATTTGTCCTCATTTCTTCAAATGCAGCCTGGCTTTTGAGGCCATCCTTTGGAACTGTGTTTAAGGAATACAGACATGTAAATTCCCAGGATGGAAAACAGCTCTAACAATGGAGTAGAATATTTTGGGGTTTTTAGGTTCATACTTTTAGACTGAAACTGAATCATAATTAATTGCATTTATAAATAAATATGGCAGTTATCTATTGGTGAACTCTTGTTCACATCCATATATGAAAGAATAATAACTGCTATTTATTGGATGTATATTAACATACACCTTGCATATATTAACTTGATCTTGACATCAATTTTATGACATAATCATTATTCTCATTTTACATATGTGGAAATTGGAGACTGGAGGTTTAATTCTGCCCAAGGAACACAATAAATAAATGGCAGAGAAGGGATAGAAGCCTAGGTCGATTTCCAAAGCCTGCCTCTTAACCACAATGCTACACTGCCTCATGGCCTGTCATCAAAGTTTTTTATGAATCCTAACTTTCCATTTCCAGTACTTCATAGATAGGAAAAGACACTTTGATTTTCTAGGACAACTGCAAGAGCAACCAACAATCTAAGCTGGGGCTAGAATTAGAAAGCAACATCTCCACATTCATATTCAAATATCAAAGACACTTGGGGAAACTGGCCGTCAACCAAGGGGGAGGCCAGGCACGTTGAGAAGCGCTTTCCATCTTCTTTGTGCCAGGATCCTATGAGCAGTTGGGCACAGTCATGTGGCCTCCCAGACAACCTGGTGGTGGCTCTGTGCACTGGTCTGTGTGTACAAAGGAGTAACACAGCAGTGGCTCTGCGTGCAAGGCAAAATCTCAAATTTTCAAAGAGAATAAACCACATTCACCTTTATCTGTGATAAAGTAGAAAGTGAAGGATCCTATTTTCTTTTATGTAGTGGCTGGCTTTTAATTTTATTTGGGATTCAGGGCTTGGAAACAGGTTTCTGTAACCTGCTGAAAGGAGGTGCTTTGTCCTAGGATACGTGCAAAAGCACTTTACAGAGGAGAGGTGCTCCTGTGCCTGGAAGGAGGTGTACGTAGGGCAGAGTGCAAACTAAAGTATCCCCTTTGAAAGTCTACTCACATGTTCGCTCTTTTCCAACTATTGCCAATAAATAGTTATATGCATGCTTTAACTTTGAACAATGAAATCACTTAGGACTTTATTTTTAGGAGATGAAGATCTAAAGAAAATTCATCTTGTGAAATTAACATTCTGAGCTGGAAACTGCTCTTACTTTCACTTCTTAATTATACAGCATGTTTGTTAATTAATCATAACTGGGATAAATAATAATTCACTTGGGTCATCAGCCTTTTAGAAGGGCTAAGTTCATTTTTTAGTATTATGAGAACCCTGGAAGCCCAGAATACTGCTGTTTCCAAATAAAACCCTGTTGTCCTATACAAAAATATGGATGATCTCGCAAATTAAATTCACATATTATGTTAATAGTCTCCTCGAATTTAATGGTTGAGGCTTTTGCTTTATGGTTTATCTAAGTCTATTTCTGTGGTGGAAAAATAAATCCCTAATAGTAATTGCACAAATTCCTGAGACCACCATAACAGTAGAGGTCGTTTCAAATATTTGACATTCATGTTAAAAGTTAAATGCCATCCATTATATAACAAATAACTTGTTTTCTTTAAAAATAAAGCCTTATTTTCAAAGTATAAAAAATATAAAGGATGGTAATAACCAGGATGTTAATCGTCAAACTATAGATCTACTTTCTACCAAAATTTTAATGTTAACTTAAAACTTTCTGAAAGAAACTGAAAGTTTACAAATAGTTTGCAAATAGTGCCCACCCACAAATTGTCATTTATTTTTTTCAGTTATAAAATATTATGGAGTAAGCCTTTTGCTTTTCAATATAAGTATTTATGGATATCATCCTATACATTAAAACATTACCTAAAATTAAAATGGAGTGAATAAATTTCACTACTATTTGGTATGTCTACTAAAATTCACCAAAGACCTTCATATGGATAGTCCTGTATCAGAAATTCTCAAGATTATAAACAACTTGTGTCAAATATTACTTGTATATTATTGCTATAACTGAAATATATTGTACCAATTTCCCGGCCAGATTTTTTAGGAGTTGAAACAAACCCACAAATAAGGAGAACTTAAGCAAAACCTCAAAATTTGGAGGTCGGCCCAGATTTTCTGAATTTACTTATTAAATGCAGCAGGGCTGCTGGAAATCATCCAAAATCTATGGGCTGGAGAAGAGCAGAGAGACAACTGGGGTAAAGGTTTGTCTGCTTTCTTCCATAAGCATTAAGAACACAAGAGTCTCTCAATGTCATTGCTACAGGCGTTCTTGATACACTGGACATTAGGTGTGCAATTTAACATCCTAAATAAAAAGAACAATTTTCACACATTTTGTCATAGCTTAGCAAAATAAGTTTACTAAAGCCTGCAGCTCTATGATTCATACAGTTCTTTACTTATGTTTTCTTGCCTTTTTATGTTGCTTTTCCAGCATCTACAAAAACCAGAAGTGAAAGTACAGAGCTAGTTGGAAGCTAATAAATTAATTTGGGCAGCTTCAAAATGATATCAGAATTGATTAAAAGCCGACTGATTAAATGATGTAAAAGGATAAGACACCAATTAAGATTGAGTAGTCAAAATTTATAAAGAATTGGTATCACGAGCATTTTTAGAAAAAAATACTGTATTTAAATTCTATCACCCATCTGATCTATATCTATATATCTATGTCTATATCTATATCTATCTATATCTATATCTATCTATATCTATATCTATCTATATCTATATCTATCTATATCTACATCTATCTAAAACATTTTTCAAGCCAGCAGTGGTTAATGACATAGCCTGGAAAGGGGAATAAAATCACAGTTACCGAATTTATAGATTCCAGTTATATTCCAAAAGGATAAATCAGGAACATCAGAAATCTTGAGGAAGTGCAGAGCAGGGAGAAAGAGCCTGGTTCTACCGACCCAGCAGATGAGGACTGCAAACACAACCCTACAGGAGACTGGCTGAATGTAATTAGTGAGGAATGGTAAGGCCTGCGGCAAACCAGAGAGGGCATGCCCTGCCCTGGGCGATTAAATTCAATGAAAATAAAACAAGACAAAAGGCCGAAAGCAACCTAAATTCCTGTGGGGGCCAAACAAAACACAGCTGTGAAGTGCTGGTCCCACCTCCCTAGCAGGCTGCTAGTTTGCCCCTGCACCTGAGCCTGGCTCCAGCCTGCTAACCGCTCCACTCTTCCTGCGCTCTGGTGCCACCAACCTGTCTTTCCACCCTTTGCTCCCCGCCCTGGGGGACAGCAGAACACTGGATGTGAAGTCCAAAGCCATGGGTTTGAGCTCTAACTCACAGAGGATACTGAACAAAAACACCGGTGTGCCTCCTTTCTGTTAACTTTAGAAGGGGGCTATCAATCTCAGAGGGTTGTTTGAAGCATTAAACTAGATAATATACGAACACTTCAAACACTGTGAGGTGGTAACCACAGGGAAGCAGACACTTATCCACAGTCACTATCGCATCCCCTCTTCCTGCTTTTATCACTACTTGATTCAGGCTAACTCTTCCCCGGATCCGGTCCCTATTTGCTGGAAATAACGTCTCTTCTTACCCCTTCCCTCCTTGGCTAGTGATGACGCTTCTTCTCAAATGACTCTACTGAGAACTGTCCCTTCTCTCCCATCCCTGATTCATGGGCCAAGGGGACGGGGGGCTGGGCAGGCACTGGGTTCTCTTTTCTGCTTCCAGGTGGTCACTCAATAATCTCTCATCCCTTGAAGTCCATGCCACTCGCCCTGGCATCCAGAACATTTCTCAGTTTCCTCAGCAGCCACAGCACGTGGCTTAGACATTTCTTCTCCATACTGTCTCCTGCCATTGCTCTCCTCTGATGTAAACTTCCTCAAGTTCTATCTATGGCCTCAGTTTGAAAATGCTGTGTCGTTGCCCCAGGAAGAAGTACCCAACATCTTTGCCAAGGCTAATCCTGTCCTGCCTTGTCTCTCCCTGGCACCTTATGTCATCAACTCTCTTCTCTCATACTTGGTTCCAGAAGCCTGGAAGAGCTGCCCATCAGTCTGCAAGTCCCTGGCCATCTGGCAGCTGCTCGAAGTCTAATGGTCAACCCGAGTAGGCTGTTCTCTGAGTTCTCAAGTTTTCTTTCGGGGAAGCTTTGCTCTTAGTCATTCCCCTTTTGGAAACCAGTACTTGGCTCCCAGTTTCTGTGCCTGCTGACAGCTCCATCTCTGTCCCTTCGGTCCCGCCATCTTCCTTTCATGTAAGTCAACTGGATCATTCCTCTTCTTTCTGCACCCCGGCAACCCCACTCCCCATTTTACTTCAGATGACAATTTTCTATGAGGACAATTCCACATTCATATCTTAACCCCCAAACTTGTCTTCTGAGTTCCAGTCCCCAATTCACCTCATCTTTTGGCCTATTAGGATACATCTGAAACTCAACCCATCTGAAATAGAACTCAGCTTCTAAAACTCCAGCAAATTTGCTCTAAGTCCCAATATTAATGTGTTCCTCTTAATGGTATGACTGTCACCTTAGTCATTTCTCTGTGCTCAAAACCTGTATCGCTTCTGACCCATACCCTTTTATTTCCCCTTCTAGTCAGCTGCCAGTTCCGCAGTGTTTCTTGAATGCACTTGCTCCTGTCCATCATACCATCATCATTTAGGTCATTATTTCAAGAGCTCACAGCAGGTCTCTGTGCTTCTAAACTGGCTAAATTCTGTCTTTGCCTCTCTGCCTCCCCTTTTCTTTCCCCTTTAATCCATTCTATGTATCCATTCTAGATACATCTTCATAAAAACACAGAACACAGCTTAGGTCATGTCACCCCACTGCTCAAAGACTGCGGTGCTGTACTCCTCCACCCACCCAGTAAAGGTCAGGTGTCTTCTGACCTTCAAGGTATTGAATATGATGGTCCAACCTACATCTCAATTTTATTCCTCACTCCTCTCCAACCCAATATAACCTGATACACCTTGAAAAGGTAAATTAATACATAAATAAGATAGAAATTTAAAACTTAACGGGCAAAACAACTCTTCCAGAGCCAAGTACTATCGCCTGGATATGCTTTCCCACATTTCCACGATCCCTCACATCATCCCCTCATGGGAATGCCATCTCAGACCTCACATCCAATCATAATCCTTGCAAAGTTCTCCAGGATTCAGCTTCACCATGACTCCCTCCCTAATCCCCAGAACAAAACATGCTTCTCCCTTTTTTGAGCCATCATGACACTCTTTTATCCTCCATCATGACTGGAGAATCCCTTTCCGCAATGTATTAAAATTACCTTTGAATTTCTTATAGTAAAACTCTCTGAGGGCAAAAACTGCACCTCACTCACTCCTATAGTTCCCGATTCACCCCTGTAGTTCCTGATCTGCCTAATTCTCCAATACCTATAACAGACCCTTACTAAATATTTAGTGGTTAGGTGGATGAAGGAATGAAGGAATATGCTCCTTCTTTACTCAAAGCTTCATACTCTCCACACAACTTGGTTCATTCACTAAAGACCAAAGCCCCTCTCCCACCAACTCAGAAAAGTTTTTATGCCAACTACTTGAAACTATAAACAGGCTAATCTCCTAAAGGCAAGGTTATCAGATAATGTAGAAAAAGGGACCAAGTGGACATCAACTTACTTGTGCTTAGCAGCAGCAACACTTTCATTATGGTGTATTCTTCAAAGGTAAGCTGCAGTCGAACAAACTGAAGGCTGATTTGGTGCATCCCCTGGCATAATTCATACATGGCGGACTGATGCATCTTCTCTCTACAAAGGAAATGAAAAAAATGTCTGAGAATACAAGATTCATGATTAAACCCAGACTGGTGGCCCAAGACAGCTTAATAAGAGATCTGAGTCAAAGTTTTCCTTTGGCTTCAACATGGAGCAGATATGTATTTGAATGACAGGTTAGATTTCACACTGATTGGCAAATTGCTTCTAGACCAACACTGCCATCCCATTTACCAGTACCCTGTAACCACGTGTCAGAAGCCCTGAAGCCAAACTCTTTCAAAGTGTGCCATTATGTAATTTTATGTCAAGAGTAAGGATGACTGTGTTGTCTTATACAGTGAAAGCATCTGTACGGCAGAGGGGCCAATGTGATGTGGGGTAAAGCCCACAAACCTCTGTTCCTTTTCAGCTAGAGATACCAAGTATGGAGCATTTTGATAAATTGTATTATACGCTGTGAACACAGAACAGTGACGATCAGTCTTATTTCCACATGGACCACCCTCATGGACGTCATGAAACATGACTGCTAACTATCTGCAGCAGTACATTTCAAAAGGCAACTGGGGGCGCCTGGGTGGCTTAGTCGGTTAAGCGTCCGACTTTCCCTTAGGTCATGATCTCGTGGTTCGTGGGTTCGAGCCCCGCGTCGGGCTCTGTGCTGACTGCCAGCTCAGAGCCTGGAGGNTTGCTGCTTGTACCTACAATTTATCTTTTTGGGACAAGTCAGTGATGTCTAGCACAAAATGCAGCTGTTCTAAGCTCACCAGAATAGAGCTCAATCATCGTGTTAAAGATCTTACCACGTGGTTATTACCCCCCATCCTATACATGGTGTGACTTCGGTAATATTAAACATATCCTTGCTCAATTAAGTCACAGAAAAGTTATTTACTTTTAAGTCTGCAAACTGAAGTAGCATCTGCTTATGCCAAAAGACAGACTATATTCACAAATGTAGTTTTCTCAGTCAAACCTATTTTTCCATGCTGAAGTGTTAGCAGATTTCCATCCAGAAGCATGTTTATTAGAATATAGTGACCCAGGGGCGCCTGGGTAGCTTAGTCGGTTAAGCGTCCGACTTTCACTTAGGTCATGATCTCGTGGTTCGTGGGTTCGAGCCCCGCGTCGGGCTCTGTGCTGACTGCCAGCTCAGAGCCTGGAGGCTGTTTCAGAGTCTGTGACTCCCTCTCTCTCTCTGACCCTCCCCTGCTCACGCTGTCTCTCTCTCTCTCCTAGAAATAAAACATTAAAAAAAAAAAGGCAACTGGACAAAATTTTCAAATGTGAGAACCTTCAATAGAACCTTTCTGATAAAGGCGGTAAGCAATATGGGGGTTTGGGGCAATATATGCACGTTTCCACGGAAACAACCAACCAATCTTCTCCCTCCAACAAATCCAAATGTTTCCCTAAAAATCTACATTATGTAACAACAGAAATCATCATTGTCTCTTTCCATGAGAAGTTAAGCAAAGCATCAGTTCCTTTTTAAGGTTTTTCTTTCTCAAGTTAATAAATCATTTGGGAGGCTCTGGGTAACTACTGTTTTATGATGACCAGAATTTAATAATTGAAAAAGAAACCATTAGTGAAAAACGGGAAAAGGCCAAAGAAACAGAAAAAAAGAGGTCAATGATGGCTGATAGATTTTCAAGGGTGACTGACAGCAGGTGGGAGTCTGTGGGACAGTAACATTGCGATACCTCTCCCAGGATGCACTCCTGGGTTCCGCTCACTGGCAGAAACCCTTTCACCTCAACTCCAAAAGCGACCTGCATAGAATTCAAAAAGGAACACAGAACATTTTCTCTCCATTACTATTATATGTCTTTTGTCTCCCATAAGCTGTAAGATACTTTTAATTAAGTAGATGTTTTAAACACACACACACACACACACACGTGTGCGCTCACACATATACTATATGCAGGAGCCTAGGCATCCACCATCCAGAACAAATAAATGCTAATGTTTTTGTCATATTTACTTCAGATCTTTCAAAATTTAAACATGGCAGAGTTACAGCCTGCTCTGTCTTCCTTCTGGTTCCCATTTGTCTTCCTTCAAGAAGGGAACCTGCGCATGTTGGGCGATCTACCATTTCCTCTCAGATGTGTATATTTTACTACGTGTATGTATCTATAAAAACAGCATAGAGTACCTGCTTTGTTTTATGTAAATTTGAGATTAGATATGCACATCCTTCTGCAACTTATTTTCATTCAATGTTGTAGTTCTATTTTAATACAGGTAACTGTAATTTAATTCACTGTCACTGATGCAAGTTTCATTTGTTTGAATATATCATAATTTAGTTATCCATCCCACTGATGACGACCACTTGGGTTGTTTCTTCTTTCCCACTATCACAGATGATGCCCAAGGAATACCTTGTGCACTCATCTAGGATACACAATGACAGCGGAATTGCTGAGTCACAGATCAGCGCACATCTGCTGCTTCCATTCCAACCAGTAAGAGATAAGAATTTCCTTTTATTCCACTTCCCTGGCAATACTTGTCATTATCCAATTTAAAATTTGTTGCCAGCTGATGGGGGTTGAAAGGATAGCCCCATTGGTGCTTTTACTTGTATTCCCATTAACACCAGTAGGCTGAACATTTTCCAAATGCTGACCATTTGGGTTTTTTCTTATGGATGTGTCTCTCCATCTTTACCCATGTCATTGTTAAGCTCTTTCCCCTTCTATCACTAAGCAACACCATCTTTATTCCTAGTTTTTTTGGTCTTAAAATTTTTTTTCTGTTATTAATTTTGTTTTTTTCCTTTCTCCCTTCCTTCCTTCCTGTTTCTTCCTTTCTTCTGCTCTCTCTTTAGAATTTGCCTGGTATACCTCAATTACATTTCACATGTCTCTTATAAACAGCAAAAAGAAAATGATTAAAAAAATCTGAGAGTCTGTGTATTCATATAACAACTTAATTAAATGTTTTCCTTTATTGTGATTACTGATGTTTTTGGATTTTTTTTTTTTTAATCACTCTAACCTTCCCTCCTCTTTTCTTTCTTTCATTTTTTGTTTGTTTGTTTGTTTGTTTGTTTTGGCCACATTCCTTTCTTTTACGGAGTTGATCCAGCTTTAAAAAAAAAAATCCCCTTTTGCTGGTGCCTGGGTGGCTCAGTTGGTTAAGGGTTAGTTGGATTTCAGCTCAGGTCATGATCTCATAATCTCATAGCTGGTGGGTTCAAGCCCGGGCGGGGCAGGCTCCATGCTGATAGCTCAAAGCCTCGAGCCTACTTCAGATTCTGTGTCTTCCTCTCTCTCTGCCCCTCCCCTGCTTGTGCTGTCTCTCTCTCAAAAATAAACATTAAAAAAAAAATCCTCCTTTGTCCAGTACTGGATTCAGAAGGTACACATTTTATTTCTACTCTTTAATTATTAAGTTGTGAATTTGTATACTTAAAAATTGAAAGTTGGGGTGCCTAGGTGGCTCAGTTGGTTAAGCGTCAGGCTTCGGCTCAGGCCATGATCTCACAGTTAGTGGGTTGGAGCCCGCTTCGGGCTCTGTACTGACAGCTAGCTCAGAGCCTGGAGCCCATTTCAGATTCTGTATCTCCCTCTTTCTATGGCCCTCCCCTGCTCATGCTGTCTCTTTCTCTCTCTCTCAGAAATAAAGCGTTAAATTTCTTTTAAAAAATACAATTAAATTAAAAAAATTGAAAGTTAATCAATAGCTTTTCCATGAGAAACCTACAAACAAACAAATAGAATATCTTTGGTCTACTGCTTCCAGTCCTCCATGTTACTGCTCTTTAGAAATTAAATTATACCTGTTTTCACATCTCCCCTGAAGTCAGTCCATCTCTCTTTACTCCCACATGCCCATCTGTCTCATTACTGATGTGTTTCTTTGGTCCCCACTGTTCCATTCACTTCACTCCATCCTTCTGGGTTCGATTTCTTACATATTAAAGGATATTTTCTCATAATGCTTTCAACAGCGGTCAGTCACTGAAAGTTCAAGTCTTTCGGTCTTGATTTGTCTGAAAATGCCCTTATTTTACCTTCATTCTTTAAAAAGTTAGAGATTTCCAGCTTGACAGATAGTTTCTCTCAATACTTTGAAGACAGTATTCCACTGTAGCTGGGTGTTAATATAAGCTGCTTTTGGAAGATTTCTTGTGAAGCTAGTTGTCATTCTAATGCAGGTAGCCTGCATTTTCTCTCTGGAAACTTACAAAAAATTCCCTGTTTATTTGCTGCCTACAGTTTTTTACGAAGGACCTAAGTCCTGCTCAGGACTCAATATCCTTATTTGATTTGAAGATGTAGGTGTTTCTTCAGTTCTGAAATGTTCCTCGACATTGTTTCTTTAAGTTTCACCCCATCCCATTCCTGTTACTTTTTCTTTTTGGACTCCTATTAGCAGGGCCTTGGACCTTATCATTGCATCTTCCATATCAACCTCCCTCTCATATTTCTATCTTTTTATCTCTCTGGACTGTAACTAGGTGATTTTCTCAAATCTACTTTCTAACTATACATATTTTTTTGTGTCTGATATGTTTAATGTCTACAGTCTCTTAATGACAACATATTTTGTGTCTAGGTGCCTAGAAATAACTATTTTGTTCTTTCTCAAACGTCTCTGTTATTTTCCATAAAGTACTTCTTACTTTCTGGTTGTTATATCTTCTTTACCTAAATTACATCTTTACGTACTATATCCCTGAATACTTTTAACGTGTTCATTTCATAGTTTCTTTCAGATGTTTTGGTGGTGGTGGTCGATTTTCTGCGATGCTAATATGCACGTCTAAGTATGGTTCTGGCCTTCGTGACTCCCCGGGGCATTGCCTTGTGGAAGGGACTCTACAGGGAAGTTTTAGCATTTATAACTGTCAGGGGTATAAGCACTTCTCTTGTTTTGGACAGTTTTTATGTTAATTTCTTAGCTTACATGCTCTTTGCAAGACCTGTGGAGTTTAAATTTAGGCTCCACATTTGATGTGATACAGGCCTGTGTTTCTTATTTCTTTCAGCTTTCCTGCCATGTCCCTGGGCTGGTTGGCTGGCATGTTGAGTTTTACTGTCCTTGTTAGGAGACAGTGAAATTTTTGCAGAGCCATGGCTTTATGCGAGAGGCTCTGCTTTAGGCCCAGCCTTGCCAGAATCTATGTTCTTGTCTCCTGTTCCTGTTTGTCTTAATATCCCCCCAAAGAGATTCACCTACATCCACTAGTCTGTGCACCAACTACAGCTTTGGGTCCAAGTTAACCAACTCTGGCTGTGAATTCCCTCTTCTTGCACCTATCTGTTCCCCCTTTTAAGCTTTCCTATATATCCAAGACTTTCTTTTTTAAATGCAGAATTTCTATGTGCTTAGAGAAAAAAAAAGGCTCAGTTCAGTTCCACCATTCTGATTGCTAACGATAAGCTTCTTAAAGGCAGGATCCATGTCTGGCTAACCTTTCTGAATATTAAATAGAATATGAAAGCCAAGTGTCATGTGTCAATCTTTGCTCAATAAATGTTCCACAAATGAATGAGAGAGAGAAGGAAAGAAAAAAGTGAAGACATCCAGATGAAGATTTGCAAAAGATGATGCTGTTAGAGCAAGATAATACTGAAAACTTACACAAAGGAAGATCAAATGTCTAACAAGATAGATATGGCATTTGTGAAGTTCTTCATAGCTTTCTAAAAAAAAAAGAGGAGAGATTTAGATTGTAACATGGGGTGGAGTGGATTACAAATTAGGATATCCATGGAGTACAGCACAACATGCATTTGATGTTATACAAATTACAAAGCTAACTCTACGCATTTGATTCCTCAGGCCACCCTGTGCTGGAGACTGCAGAGACATCCTTGGCTTCACCCCAGGAAGGTCAGGAGATGTGAAGCCCGTGAGCCCTTCCAGGTGCGAGTCTGTGATGGTTCCGTTTCTGAGACCCAGACTTACTGCATATCCAACTGTGATACCAATGATAATTTCAACCTTGCAGAAATATAGGAACCAATTTTATGGAAATTCTTTTTTTTTAATCTTTTAAAATATTTATTTATTTTTGAGAAAGAGAAAGAGAGAGAGAGAGAGAGAGAGATGAAGAACATGAGTGGGGGAGGGGCACAGGGAGAGGGAGACAGAATCTGAAGCAGGTTCCAGGCTCTGAGCTGTCAGCACAGAGCCTGACGCAAGGTTGGAACTCACAAACCGAAAGATCATGACCTGAACTGAAGTTGGATGCTTACTGCCTGAGCCACCATAGCATCCCTGGAAATTCTTAAATTATAAAGTACTGTACAACTATAAGATTCATTTTTTTTGGTATAATAAAGAAAATAAAATGTTTCCAAGAGATCCAAGATTACTTTGGCTAAAACAAACCAAGCAATAATCGAATTCTTAAAATGACTTTCAGGAACACAATATTATATTATCATTATTATTTCTGTATGTAGGCAGATAACAGAGGAGAAAAACCAGAAAGTGCCGATTTCCAGGAAGGTGGAAGGAACGTGCCTGGAGAAGAAGAGGAGAACTAACCACCTCCCTGTTTAAGTGTTTCCGTCTCAGATGTGTTGACAAAACATCCATGCACTGATGAAAGGTTACTTAGAGACCTCAGATTCTACTGGAAGACAGATTAGAACATCAATGTGTGACAACACACCTAAAGAATGCATGTGTTTTTTATTGTTGTTTGTTTGGGGTTTTTTGCCCTTTCAGTCTGAACAGCATATCCTTAACTTTTTCTTTGCAGGGATTATTACTCGAATAACCTCCATGGTCTTCACAGCCATCACGTATGAGGCGCCTACCATACACCAAAGCTAGGTTTATTCTTGCTAATTCTCACAATGTCTTGTGAAGAATGAGCCTCATGCTCACAGTAAGGAAATATAGGCACACGATGCAGCAGCCAGGAGCCAACACCAGGTTTTCCACTTCAAAACTCAGGCTGTTTTGCCAGTGGCCCAACAGTTTTTAGCTTTTTCTCCAGAGCATCTCTTGACAATTATGAAGAGATATTTGGTACCGCATGTGTTTTGTTATTACATACGCTCATTTGTTTACCCTTTGCTCTCCATTATGTGGTAAGATTTTGTGTTTGTGAATGCCGCAGCTGTTTCTATCGCATGAAACTGAGTTCTCCAAATGAAGAGTACCAGGTACTCAGTATAGCTTGAAATGTCAAAAAAATGGGCAATCTTAAAAGCACATTTTACAGCACATCATTTTTGCACAACTAGATTAAATGCACAGAAATGCACATCCATAGAAGCTGAAACACGGACAATCTTTTTGGCATGATGCTGGTATTAATTTTACAATATTACTTCACAGAAATACTCTTTGCTATGTGTTTTTATTCATTTTATAGTCTTACCTCATTTTCAGTAATGTAAAAATACATGAAAAACTTTGAGGAGAAGACAAAATTTGTATAATGCTCCTAAAAAATAACAGTAAATGCAAAAGTCACCCTTGAACACTGAATCGATACAAAGACAGCAGGAGATTACTGAAGTTGGCAACATCCTGTATTAAACTGAATGTCAGACCTGCATAACTGACAGCCTTCTCAACAGTGAGCATGTCATCATTTATAAACATCTCATTTGCAGTACAGAATGAACTCTATTTTTGGATAAATAAATACAACAACCAAAAAGGGCATAGAGACCCTGTTCCAATTCCAAAGACCTTGGGATAAAATCTAAAAGAATGATACCTCTAAAATATTTTTTAAGAAACACTTCAAAAAAAAAGGAAGTAAATATTTCAAAAGTTTTGCAAACTTGTCATTTTCTCAGACTAAGAAACCAATTTTATTCAGAGCTATAACTTTATCTGATTCTCTCTTAGAACATCCACAATCATATGGCCATTTGGAAATAGTTTTAAAATATTAAAATAATCTAATGTCTCCAAACCTGATTAACTTGGAACAAAAGTGAATAATTCAAGAGTTAGAAAATATTTTTTCCTGGCTTTTTGAGAGAATTTGAGGTTGAAAATGGAATTCACTTTTATGATAACAGTGGGAATTAGAAAAAGCCCCATGATAATCAGAGTAGCAAAGACATTCACAATTTAAATGATTTGTATGCCAGTTGCCTTCTTTTAATTTAGCTAAATAATCTGAATAACTTTCATATCTATAGGACCCATGCCTTCTTACCATTATTATATTAACAGTGTTGCCCTATTTTACATTGTGAGGATAGTTACAATGTAAAATACCTACTGGCCAATGGCCGTTAGAAGGAACACTCCTGCTTTGGTATTCAAGTATTGGTTTACCAAGACACTACTAAAAAAAGTATTTGAAAAGCTTAGTCATTTGGTTATCTGGAGTTCTACCTGGAGGCAGTTGATTTGGGAAATTACTGACCCAAACTAAATGCAATCCTGGAATCATATTTATCTTCTGTTAGAGGTAAATTTTTGAGAAATCCAAGCTACAAAACATTCCAAACTATGGGCACCTGCAGAATTCAGGAGCTCTAAGTATTAGCCCGAACACCTACTGTGACTTCTCATGCTGTGGCTGTCTACAGAGAGAACACAAGCTAACTTCTACTTAAACAATCTTTGCAGAAATTTAAAGCAGGGTCTCAAAGAGACATTTGTACACACACGTTCACAGTGGCATTATTCACAATATCCAAAATGTGGAAGCAGCCCAAGTGTCCCTAGACAGATGAAAGGATAAACAGAATGTGCTATTTCCATATAATGGAATATTATTTAGCCTTAAAAAGGAAGCATATTCTGACGAGTGCTACAACACGAATGAACCTCAATGATATTCTATTAAGTAAATAAGCCAGTCAAAAAGTCAAATATTGCATGATTCCACTGATACGAGGTATCTGGAGCAGTCAAACTCATAGGAACAGAATGTAAAACAACTATTCCCAGGGCCTGGCGGGAGGAAGGAACAAGGACTTACCTACTTAACATTGTGAATATGCTTAACGTTAGTGAACTGTATAGGTACAAAGGGTTACGTTGGTAAATTTTCTGTTACAAGTATTTTATCACAATTGAAAACATTTTTGTTAGAAACAAAAAAGGCATCTCTATAGCCCATGATCCTATCTGCTGTACTTTGATAGAGATTAAGAAACTAGGATTTGCATTTAATTAAGCAGCTTCTCTTAGGGTTCGGGCTTTTCATTCATTCTTCTTCTTTTACAATATATAAAATAAAATAATCTCTTTTCTTCTCTGTTTTTGCTATTTGCCTTTTGCCTTTTTGTGTCTTGATGGATTTTCTTGTATGGATTTCTGTATTACATATAGTCTTACTGTATGTACTTTTACTGCAGGCTGTGCTAAATGCTTTTTAAAAGCAGGAAGAGTAAAAATTCTTTAATAAACCATAATTTCAGAAAGTCAGTCAGAAACACTTCCTCAAAGGTCTGTCTGTTGTAGTTCTGGTACCCTGAGGGAGAAGGGAATATAGAACTACCTTTATCACTCTTTTCTCTTTCCAAGAATTCACATTTAATAAACATAATCTGTTCACACTGGCTGATTTTATAAATGCCAAAGCACAAAAGGTCCCCAGCTCTTCCACCTATGGGAGTCTATGAAAGGTACAGTGACATTTTTTAACTTACAATCCTTTAGCAATATTGCACTAAACTGTACCTTGGTCACCTAAATACCCTTCAGGGGTGTCAAACATCACTTTATTTAGTAAGGGACTGCAAGAAAAAACTTTCGAGACATTTCACGTTAGCCCATGGATGAAGCAACAGGCAACTCTCATCACTCTGAAGCCGTGTGTTCGCCTGGATAATCATCTGTGGTTGTTTTTTTGCATGTGCATAGATCCCAAATTACACCAGTGCTAAATAAATATCTGGTAGTCACTGAGAACAGGTAAATCCGATGGATTTCGCAGACTGTGAGTTGCTCTTAAAATACAGATATCAACAACACCCAGCAATGCTCATTCAGGGCCGGGCTCCCTGGAGTCTCAGGAAGACTTCATAAACGAGTGTGCTAACATTGCTATTACTTCCGTAAGTTGTCCCTAGGAATGTGTGTGTATTACATTGCTGGGATGCATACAGCCATACTGTCCATCTCACAACTGAGAGTGAAATAACTTGAGTGGTGTAGTGCATACATACACAGCCGGTCGGAAAGACCAGACGTTACATCTGATGCTGCAAACCACATTATTATGTCTGAATAAATGCAACATCTTAAGTGGTCAGTATTACCAGATGGTCTCTGTCTTAGGCTTGTTATTTTCCTAAAGAATAGCATGCAGAAATAGGGGGTTTTCCCTCCTAAACCTTAATTAGAATAAAAATGAACTTAATTTGAACATTCAAAATATTCCAGTATATGGTATGCAGTTTTGATCATAGTTTCCCCAGATTTTTCCTTAACTGACAAACAAGATATACCCATAAAAGGACCATTATGCTAGCTGCAGTTTTGATATCTGTTAGACTATTTACATCATTTACTTAAAGCCAGGGCAGAACTCAGTCACTTTGGTCTAAGAATTGCTGGAGAATGTTGCTTTTCTGGACTAGTGAGCCAAAGACTGGTATCCCAATGGTCTCTATGACATTCATCAATTCTTTATTAATTGTACATGGTCAACTCTAGTAAGAGTTAAACGCTAACTCAATGCTTGGTTTGTCACCTTAAGTGATGTTCCAGAAGGGATGTGTTTTCTTAGAAGTACCCTTGAACCTAAGCATCACAATGGCTACTGACTTTAGTAGATGTTACAGAGTTACACAGATCAAAATCATATTTTGACAATCTAAAAACTGAGAAGGGCCTTGGCTACACAACCATTATTTACCAGTGACAGCCCTAGAAATCATGAAAAAAATCCTTTTACTCATATATTCTATATACAGCTTTTTTGTAAAACATTCTTTTTGTTTTACAACAAATTTAGATTTTTAAATACTTACATAGTTAGCACAATTTCTTTTGGTACAAGGACACATACTTCTGGTAGAGGAAAGAAAACATGAAGCTATAACCCACTGTGAAAATTTCCTCTTAACTGCTATAGTAAGGTTAAAATACCCAACAGCATGCTTAGAACCTCATGAGCACTTAATAAAATGGAAACCATGTTAAGATTTAACACCTGAATGGCTCATCACATAGAAAGGATACAAAAAACCCAATATTCTTTGGTGAAAGAATTTTTTAAAAATTATCAAAGTCTCACTTTTGTAGGATGTAGACTTTAATACTAAATTTCTGCGCATTTAATGATATGCAGACCACAGACGTTTCAATAGAAGACAGAAAACCTTCAGTGAGCTATTACTGCTTCAAACAGGGACATTTTAGGTATATACTTAAAGACATGGCTTAATTTCAATAAACGACCACAGTTTCCTCACTTGTAAAAAGGAGCCATAAAAAGGCTAGATTCCTACTTTGATAACTACTGAATTTCAAGAATGTGAACAAAGTTAATTGCTGAATTCAGGAGCGTGGCTAGACTACTGCGTGAGTAAAGGGTGACAGCAAATCACTTTTCCGAGTACGATAAAAGATTTGCATTAAATCACAACTTATGGAATCCTATTCTTCTTGAGGCAAAAGTCACATTATTCTAGCCACAGACCTGGCCCACATTATAAGGAAGGACATTTACTCTGATAAA